CTGAGTCCCTTCAGTCTCACTATCCATTTGATATTGAACCCTACAGATAATTGTTTGAACTCTGACAGTGATAGAAATGTAGGAACCCTACTACTAAAATCAAGACAAAACGGTCAATTTCATTATTTGTAGGAGGCAGGATAATTTTCCAATGTTTGGATTATAGGTAACCAAATGACCAGTTTCGAGGAAAGGTTCGAAACAATAAGAGCGACTTCCTAAGCATTTCAAAAATCGAAAACTTCTAGGAAATTTCCTCAAGAATCTGACTCAAAATTATTTGATGAATAATCAAATAACGATTTCATTCAAAATAGATGAAACGAGAGTTACTTTGCGAGATTGTCGTAGTCCATTTCCCCTTTGATTTCACAGAGACAAAATCTAACATGCATTCGAAAAGAATTCAAAGTCACCAGAATTCCTTAACAGGCGAAACAGTATCAGCCGGTTCCATGTGCTCAAAACTAATCTCAGCCGACTGCGAATCCGCATCACACTTGCTAACATATGCAGCGTGGACAGGTACTGGCACATCTGCAAAGAGATGTTATTAGCTTGAATTTTCTTTGAGCTCAATCCCTCGACTTATTTCATTCATATGGTAACAATCCATCTGTAATCAATGGCTTCGGGTAACGCTGCAGACAGGGACTTAGTGACCGGCTTCTTACAAAATCGTAAATTGATAACAAAATCACTGAACACTTAAGTTTTCATATCAAGAAAACTTGGAGGTAGGATGAATAAAGCTAAATCATACAGCATTTCTTGTATATGATAAGGACATTACTCTAGTCAAACGCATATTGGGGACACACTTTGTCCTATAGCTTTAAGTATTGCAACATATTGAAGGCTATCAGAATAGGTGCTTAGCTAGCTGGACTCTTGAAAGTTTCAAAACAGACTACTTACAATTGCTTACTCAAATAAGGTGTTCCCTCGTAACGTACTAACAAGGGAAGGATACTTGGTCGAGTGGCGATTCAAAAAGGGATACATATTGTTCCATGCCGTTTAAAACGCTGATTTTAAATTTACCTTCCATATCTGCGAAGCGTCTTACCGGAAGAAGTTACGGAGATTTTTCTCCATCAAAAGTGGCTTACAGGACCTGGATTAAGATGCTCAAATGTTTCAAAGTTGATCCAAAACAGCAGCG